GCTGAAAGTGAAAAATCACCCCCCCGCCCCTGGGGATGGCCCTTCTCCTCCATTCTCCTCTCAGGATCTTAGGCACACACATGCGCCCGGTGTGAATTTAAGCCACCGGGTCTGGGACTCGAACCACAGTCAGCTACCTGGGAGTCCAGCGACATAGCCATTACACTAACTGCTGGTCCCCCCGACATGAGTTTTTAAGCCACAGGGTCCAGGACTCGAACTGCAGTCAACTAAGTAACCATGACACCATCCGCTGGTCCCTTTACTATTTTTAAGAAGGTGCCATGATGGAGTAATCAGATATTCATTCAATAAACCTGCCACTGAAGGAACATCTGCACCTGTGGGAGGTGCTCTGCCAAGTGCTGGGATAACACAACAGTGAGAGCAGTGTGCTGGCTAATAATTACGAAGCACTAAGAGTGAGGCACTGCACCCATGTGATCCTCACAACACCCCGGGAGGTGGTTCCCTTATGTGCATTTTAAGATAATCACATTTAGCAGAGAAACAAACATCAACTAGTAACTACAAAACGCGTGTTAATGGGGCTCCATGTGTGTTTATTTAGTAAGTTCATAATGAAGACGCTCTGTGACCATTTATGGGAAAATCACCATGGAAGAAAAACTTCTAAGACCCACCCACCCAGGAAAACAACTAAAGCAGAAGAATCCACTTGGTGAACCCATCTTTCAAAAAGTTCAGCGTCCCAGCCCATACCTGTGCTTTGCTTCCTGTTGTGCGGCATCACCAGGATCCTGAAAAGATAATGGAACTTTTTAATCGGGTAATTTCACAGAGGAAATCAAACAAACTATTCTGTTTTGTTTCTGCAGTGGTGAAGACTGCCTACCAAATAATTAGAAACTAGGCCTCACAGAAACCAACGGGGATAGTTTCCACTTAATGTTTTGATGAGCTTCTAAAGTTTCAATCTAATAAAATGCGTTGGAATACAATCAACCTGGGTGGCTTGATGGTTAAGGTGCTGGATCCCACATGGTCAACTGTGTGGTTTAGAGTATCCGGGCCTGGTGGCTTCAAAATTATGCCAGGTGGCTTCAAGATTATCCAGCCCGGCGTTGCCGGCGGGTTCAAAACCCAAGAGGAGAAAGGGGAGAGACTGCAGCGTGGCCATCCCCCATGGGGGAGGCGGTGCTTTCTCACTCTATCCGTGCCTCTGGTCTACCCGCACAGGCGCCCTACAGCAAATTACAATGAAAAAAAAAATGCATTAACCCTTGAGAGGTGCATCCCTATACTACCAAACCATACTGCACCTGTAAGAATTTCTGGAAGATACGTGCCTTGACACTAGGGCTGATGATGATTCATACAGCGCTTCCTCCCAGACCATCCAGCCCAGCGTCCCTAACACGGCGCTCTCCTTATCTTCATAGAATAGGCACTTTATCTATGAGATTAGTGAGAACCGCTTGGCTCCGCCCCGGACTGTCAGCTCGGAGCACAGGTTCACCGGTTCTCTGCGGTACCCTCGGCACCTGGAACGCTGCCGACCCTCACGTCGACGTGGGTCAAATCACGAATTCTAGAAAACCTGAACTGTCCCGCTGGAACAGCAGTAAAGACCGCTGGCTCCAAAGCTCAGGGTACGGAAAGAGGCGGGGGCTGAGATTTTTGCTTCGAACTAAGGCCGAGCCGGGCCGCCGACTCCGCGGCTAGAGCGGCCCCAGCCCAAGGCAGGCCTTGCACGTGGCCAGCACCCACCGCCCGGCCGCCCAGGCCTCCAAGCACTGGCACCAGCCCGCACCGCCCGCCCGCCCAGGCCTCCAAGTACTGGCGAAAACGCTGAAGCTGGCCTCGAAGCCGGCCTCGAGGCCGCCAGCGGAGTCCTTGGCCCGCGAGGCCAAAAACGCCGCGGCGCCCGGAGCCACCGCCTGGGGCCGCGCCCTCTCATTCCGGGCCAGGGCGCCGCCCCGCAGGGGACGGGCCTGGACGGGGCGGGCGCGCTCACCCCGTGCTTCGCCTGCAGCTCCGCCAGCCTCTGCTTCCTCAGCGCCTCCCGCTCCTCGTCCGCCAAAAAAGCCGGGGCGCGCGCCCTCTCATTCCGGGCCAGGGCGCCGCCCCGCAGGGGACGGGCCTGGACGGGGCGGGCGCGCTCACCCCGTGCTTCGCCTGCAGCTCCGCCAGCCTCTGCTTCCTCAGCGCCTCCAGCTCCTCGTCCGCCATGGTACTGCTGGAGGTCGAGCAGCCGGAGCCACTCTCCGCCTCACTCCGCGGGATCTCCCGCAGCCCCTGGGCGCGAGCTCGGCCCTGAGCACTGCGCAGGCGCCCAGGCATCACCAATCCAGCCCGGAGCCGCGCGCTCGCAGCTGCCAGGACGCTGCGAAGAAGCCCGATCCCTCGATGGGCCGCTCTCCAGAGTGGCGGGGCACTGGGACGCCGCGTTTTGCGGACCCTCCGGGACTCGCCTCCGCACCCATCGTGGTCGCCTCCGCGTGTGTGGACACCTCCGCGTGTGTGGGCACTGGCTCCCAGACATAGGCTGCGTCTCGTAAAACATCTAAAATAAAGCCTCAACAGAAGTATTATAGGAACCGGTACAATTTGCTGGTGGCCTATGATGTCCTTACTCACACTGTCATTTTTATAGATGAGGAATGACGGACTCAGAAAGGCCCAGTAGGTGATGGAAATATCTTAAAACTGAATTGTGGCTACGGTTGCATAGGTTTTTTGTTGTTGTTGTTGTTCTTGTTTTTCAAAACATTTGCTACAGGACTTGTGTACTCCCTGGGGACAGAGAGAGAAAGTGAGAAAGCATGTGTGTGTGTGGGGGGGGGGGGGGGGGGGCGTGCCTCAATCCCTTCTCGGGATTTTGGGCATGCATGCACACGTGCCTCCGCGTTTCTTTCAAGCTGCAGGGTTGGGACTCGTACCATGCACAGTCAGCTATGTGGAATTCAGTCGCTTTAACTTACACGCCATTGGCAGGCCCAATTGCACAGGTTTTAAATGTGGCAAAATCATTAAATTGTACGTTTAACATGGGTTAAAAGAGGTGGTGGGGGTGGAGGGAGGTTACCTGGATGTTAGATAGTCAAAAACTTGGAGGCTCATCTAGGGTTGCAGATGAGCCTTTCTTCAGAGGTTGGAGAGGGGGTTGTGGGGTGTATTGCGAACTCCCTGGCACACATGCCCCTGCACCCACCCTTCACACAAAGGGGCCTTTCCTGGGAAAATACTGGAGTGAGCAGCTGTGGTGTGAACTTCTTGGCACACTCACATATGCTTCTGCCTCTAGATTGGGATGAGAGGATACTCAGCTCTTTAACCTGGTGACTCCTGCAGGTTATTCCTGTGGGTGGTGGTGGTTTGTTTTTAAGGGACCAGCAGTTAGCGTAATGGCTATGTCGCTGGACTCGACCACGGTTCGAGTTCCGGACCCGGAAAAAACTCACGCCGGGTGCGTGTGTGTGTGCGTGCATGCCCAAGATCCCAAGAGGAGAATGGAGGAGAAGGAAATTGCGGTGTCACCATCCCCCCCCCGGGAGGTGATTTCTCACTTTCTGTCTCTCCCTGTCTTGTGGGCAAGCGCCCAACCCCTTAGGAAAAAACCTCAAAAAAAAAAAAAGAAGAGGGATTTTTGCCATAAGGTGTGTGTGAGAAATCACCGCTTCCCCCTCCACCCCAGGGGAATGGTCATGCTGCAGTCCCTTCTGCATTCTCCTCTCAGGATTTTAGGTACACACATGCACATTAGCCAGCCATGGGATTCAAGCTGCCAGGTCTGAGACTTAAACTACAGTTGGCCATGTGAGAGTCCAGCTACCACGCCACCTGTGGGCCCTTCCCTGTGTGGCAAACTACTCATTAAATGCACTATTTTCATTATTTTTCTTTTTTTTTGGAGAGGTTTTTCTTTGCTATTGGGCATGTGCGCTGGCCAGAAAGACAGGGAGAGACAGAGAGACAGAAAGCGTGAAATCACCCCCCAGGGGGGATGGCCACACCACAATCCCTTCTCTTCCATTCTCCTCTTGGAATCTTGGGCACGCACGCACATGCACCTGGCTTGAGTTTAAGCCACTGGGTCCAGGACTCGAACCATGGTCGACTATGTAGGAGTCCAGTGACATAGCCATTACACCATCTGTTGGTCCCCATTTTCATCATTTTTAAGTATACAAGAGGCCTTCAAAAATTCATGGAGAATGCATATGATGACAAAACTAGGAGTGGGTTTTATTTATTTATCTTTGCACCAAAACAAACACTTCTGTTTTTCCCAGTCCCTTCATTCAATGGTATTGAGGATACATTCACATTGTAGACCTTTTTCATCCTCCCAAACTGAAACTCCTCTCGCTAAATAATAACTCTCATTTCTCCAAGCTCCCATCTCTTGACAACCAGCATCTACTTTCTGTCTGTATGGCTTTGTCGATTCTAGGTAACTCCTAAGAATGGAATCATACAGTATTTGTCCGTTTGTAACTGGCTGATTTCAGTTAGCATGTGTCTTTGAGGTGTCTCTACATGACGCACGTGCCAGAACGTCACGCCTTTGAAGGCTGAATGTATTCCATTGTACATATGTACACATTTTGTTTATTTGTTCATGGACACTTAGTTGCTCCTACCTTTTGTCTGTTGTGAATAATGCTGCTATGAACATGTGTGTACAAATATCTGTTCAGATCCAATCTTTTACTTCTTTGGAGACTATATCCAGAACAAGAATTGCTGTAGAAATGATAATCCGGTTTCAATTCTGAGGAATGACTACATCCCTCACCATGGTGGCTTTACTGTTTCACATTCCCACCAACAGTGAACAAAGGCTTCAATTTCACCAATTCCTCACCACCACTTATGTTCTGTATTAAAAAAATATATATATAGTAACCATCCTAGTGGGTTAATGTCTATTTCATTGTGGTTTTGGTTGCCATTTCTCTAATGACTAGTGATGTTGAGCATCTTTGAATGTGTTTATTGGCCATTTGTATACCTTTTTTTTGGGAGAAATGTTTGTTCAATCCTTTATCCATTTTTAAATTTTGAACATTGGCTCTCTCTCTTCTGTCTGTACATGGCTTTTCCAAACCATTTGAAAGTAAATTGTAGCTATTACTTCAGTTCACTCCTAAGTGTCTAAGAATAGAGACATTCTCATACATAATTGTACTGTTGATGTAATTATTGCACCCCAAAATTAATGTAGATAAAACACAATCACCTAATTTACATACAATCACACCTATTTTCTCCAATTATTCAAATAACCTTCACGACTCTTTTCTATCAGTTCATGACTATATTGTGTTTAATGGTCATTCCCTTTGAAATATGAAAGTATTTCTCATCTGTCTTCAAGGATTTGGAGTTGGTAATACAAAATCTGATTTTTTTTTTTTTTTAAGTTTTAGGGTGCGTGTGCTCACCAGAGAGAGACAAAAAGAGGGGAAGTGAGAAATCACCCTCGGGGAAAATGACCACACCAATCCCGTCTCCTCCGTTCTCCTTTTCGTATTGTAAACATGCACGCACGCACATGCGCTTGGCGTGATTTTCAAGCCACTGTGAAGTCAAGGACCAGCATATGGCATGATGGTATGTCATTGGACTCCCATGTCATCGACTGTGGTTTGAGTCCCAGACCCAGGGTCTTGAACTCACACTGGATGTTCCTAAGAGGAGAATAGAGGAGAAGGGATTGTGGTGTGCCACCCCCGCCCACGGGCGGTTCTCGTTTTCTTTCTGTCTCTCTATGTCTCTTCAGTGAGCGCACATACCCTATAGCAAAAAT